TCAACATATTCTGTTACACCAAATACACAAAATAATGATCTTTAAAATAGCATCATATGACCCCTTTAAAAAATTAAACATTAAAAAAAAAAAAAAAAACTTTATGCAGTTTTAGCAAACAAAAAACATTATTTAAACAATTTATTTAATTACATTTTATTTATTTGTAGCCATATGAGGACATCACTAAATTGAGGTTTTAGCTTACATCTGATCACAAATTTGTCCTCTCACCTTAAAGACCTGAAGCTCTTCTAGCAGAAGCTCTGTGTTACTCCAGCTTCCTTTGGGCACAGAGATCACCTTCAGCACTGAGCCGACATCTGCAGAGAGACACAGAGAGGCTTTAACCAGAGCCTCAACAAGTACAGACCGTTTAGTCTAGAGGGTTTCACCAATGTTCGGTCAATATTCTACCTGTCCCGATGAACATTACATCGTAGTGTCCATCAGCTGCGTTGACGCGGTCTACAGTAATCTGAGTGAAGGTGTATGGTATTCCAGTATGCAGGAACAGCGGCCGGCCTCCCAGTGGAGTGACTGGATTGAACATTAATGGATGGTGCCTTGCAAACTGGATTACGTTATCAGGGAAACCTTTAGTGGACTCAAAACTCCCAAACGTTTTACTGGGACACTGCGGAAGAGAGAAAGAGATATCAGTAGAATCCAGAAACATAATCCATTCACATGTTATCAACATTCTACGCAGGTCAGCAAGTCCAAACCTATGACCAATCTACATCTACTTTTACTTTACTAACATTTACAAAAACTAATTTATATTCCCACAAACTTGTTTTGAAATGGCATTGATGCTTCAACTTGTTTACACTACCGTTCATGAAAAAATTTATTTAAAAAAAAATAAATAAATAAGCAGCACAACTTCTTCTTATAAAAACAAAAATTTTACCGACCCCAATCTTTTGAAATATTGTTTATAAAGTGAGATGTAAGGAAACTGTTCTTACCATGCCTGGCCGTGGGTACGGCACCTTACCCTGGAATGGAACCCACTGATAATTGGGTCCCTCTTTATGGGCAAAAGGTCCTAAAAATGCCCGGCGAATGTCATTCATGGTGTAGAGACACACTGCAGAACCTTGAAATACGCTACTGTAAGACACAAACACACATGTTACAGTACAGGGACATACAAGTGACTACACAAATGCTGAGTTCAGGTACTTTGGCTCACTTTTTCTTTTTTCACTTTTTCCAATTTACATAAATTCACCCTGAATGTTTTAATTGAAATATTTTTAATATTTCAAAATAGAGTGATGACATACAGTAAATGTAAATATTTCCTATACAAGCCATTATTTAAATAATTATTTAAAGGCACAATTCATGCATAAAAATGAAAATTCTGTCATCATGCCATTGTTTTTATGACTTACTTGTGTGGAACAAAAAGGGAGATATTTTGAATAATTTTGATGAATTGCTTTTTTCATATGAAAGGTCAATTTGGGGAAAGTTTAATTACTCTTAGAAAAAAAAAAAAAAAGAAAAAACCCTATGCTATAAATTTACCTTTGTGTTCTACAAAAAAAAAAAAAAAGTCATACAGGTTTGTAACGACATGAAGATTAGTAAACAAATACAGAATTTAACTTTTTGGGGTGAGCTAAGCCTTTAACCCACACCCTTTGATGAACTCTGACCTTGAGGTGGTAAAGACGGTGTAGATCAGCGGGTTCTTTCGGTCACGGGTCTGCAGCAGGAACACATCCCCTAAGGTCCGGACAAAGGTCAGATCGCAATGAAATGCAATTGCCAGCTATAACAGCATAATTTAAGCCTAGTGTCTGTGAGTGTGAGAGATAAAGTTCTTACTAAGTTCATCAAAATGTGTTTCAGTGCCATCATTGCCTGGTACAGAACACACAAGACGAGCCTTTAGAAATGTCGTCCACTTATTTACTAGACTGCGCTGTCCTCCCATATCATTCTGTAAAAAAACAAACAAAAAACACATAAATTCAAATTAAATTGATAAACTGCAGCCAATGGCCATTAGGCTTCGTAAACACATATAAAACAGGGCTGATAAATCCTGCTCCTAACCCTGCAGAGCTGACCAATCCGGGAATATGTAACCTTCCCAAATCCCTGAGCTTCTACAGCAGTTTCTCTGAAGAAGAAGAAGACTTTATCATCGTCGGGATTCTCACTCTCTGGAACACCAAATGCCGCAATAAACTTGGGCTCTGAAACACAGCATTATCATAGGGCTCAGTGTCATTATACAAAAACAGAAAAACAAAGATGCATCTAAACAAATGGCTCAATGACAAATAAGAGTGTGCAAGATAAAGAAAGGGGAAAAGAAAACTTTATAAAAATATCTAATTTAAAATGCATGTGGGATATGCCTATCCTTTCTATGATATCATTTTCATTTTTTTCTGCATGTTGGTTAAACCACATGATGTTAATTTGCCTTTAAAATATTTATAATATTGCAACAAAACAAATAAATAATAATAGAAGATTAAGCTAAACAATTTAAAAATGTTTTCTTTTCAAGAATTTTATTCTTTTAATGTGGACTTTTTTCTGTCACGATATCAGGACAGTTGTATCACCCTGATTTTTTTGACTTCATGTAAAAACAAAAAAACTAAACATGCCTAATTTTTTCTAAGATACTCTCTCATACACATACATACCATTAAGCCAGCGAGAATCGTGCTGTTCTGTTCGTATGGAGGGCCTTTGTCCCATGCTGCGAAAGATTGTAAAGTCCCGTCCCATCAAATCAGTGGCCACTCCTGCATAAAGCTCATCACCTATGCGATGAGAAAAATTTAGAAATGGTTACTGTTTAGACATGATGTAACAGCATTTAAATGGAAGACAGAAGGCTGAACAGTGGCAACTAACCAATTAGAACAGATGCTGATGTGTGGCGTGGGTCATATGGACTCTTTCCTTTTCCATCTTCTACCATAGAGGGGTCGATTCTAAACACATGATCCTAAAGAGAACAAGGAAAATAAAGCAGTGCATTTGGCCAGCTGCCATATATCACACAAACTCATTCACATGCATCCAAACGCTCACACACTTACCTCTATCTTTTGTCCCACCTCCACATAAGCACAGGTGGGGTGGAAAGCCCCTGTCCCACAGGCATACAGGTGAGTCCGATTGTAGTGGTGTAGCACTTTCACATAGTTTACGCAGTCCGTCTGCAATACACACACACACAAATACATTTTATGAAGGACATATTTTACATACTTTCACCAGTTCATCTGGCAGGCAGGGAAACTGTCAACATCTGGATTGACTATCAATAGCTCAGAGCCAAAGGCAGACACAAAAACATACACACATATTTTGTCTCTTAAGGGACCACGTATGGGGCGGATCAGAAACGAAACGTAATTGTGTTACGTATCCTTGACGACAGTCTGACACGAGTGCTGACCTTTCCCTGCTCGCTGTGATCCCGGAACTCTCTGTAATCTCTTGCACTCTCTCTTTCACACATGAAAACAAAGACACGTTGACTGTTCAACTGACACACATGGGCACATACAGTCTCTCTGTTTCTCTTTTCCTTTGTGAATGTGCTCGCTGGAGCATGCCACAATTCCCAGAGTGCCTGGAATCACTACGACAACATGAGGGAGCGGGAACATCCGGATTCCAGGGTAGAGGGAGAGGATGCGGGGATGAAGCACAGAGAGCGAAAGAGAGGAACGTGGAAGAGAAGAGACGACATGACAAGAGACGTGAAAAGACGACATGAGACAAGGGTAAGATGAGAGGATATAACCAGAGAAGAGAAGATTTGAGATGAGACAAGAAGAGACAGCAACAGACAATCGGAGATAACCATAGGCAGCAAGAGACGAGACTAGATGAGAGGACTAGAGAAACAAGAAGACCAAAACAAGACGAGGAGAAGAGACGACTTGAGACAAAAAGAAAAAAGATGACTAGAGAAGTTTTGAGACAAGGAAAACAGCAACAAAGACGAAATTAGACGAGAGAACTAGTGAAGAGACAAGGTGAAACACGACTAAAAGGCCAAAGATGAGACCAGAGAAGACTTAAGTCAAGAAGAGACAACCAGAGACAAGATGACCAAAGACAACAAGAGAAGAGAGGAGAAGAGATGACTTGAGACAAGAAGAGAAAAGAAGACCAGAGAAGATTTGAGAGAAGATGAGACAAGGCTAAAGACAAAAGCAGAGAGGATGTAAGTCATGGAGAGACAACCAGAGACAAGATTACCAAAGGCAGCAAGAGAAAAGACTAGACAAGAGGACTTAGAGAAAAGACATGATGAAACAAGACTAAAAGGCCAAAGACAAGACCAGAGAAGACTTAAGTCAAGAAGAGACAAACAGAGACAAGATGACCAAAGACAACAAGAGAAGAGACTAAACGAGGTGACTAAAGAAACAAGAAGACCATAACAAGACTAGAAGAAGAAGAAAGCAGAAGAGACGACTTGAGACCAGAAGAGAAAAATGACCAGAGAAGATTTGAGACAAGGAAAGACAGCAACAAAGAAGAAATTAGACGAGAGAACTAGTGAACAGACAAGACAAGATGAAAAAAGAAGAGAAGAATAAAGACAAAACCAGGGAGGATGTAAGTCATGAAGAGACAACCAGAGACAAGATGACCAAAGACAGCAAGAAAAGACAAGATGACTAGAGAAGAGGAGTGACAAGATGAAACAAGAAGAGGCGAAAGGACAATAGATTAGAAGGCCAAAGTTGAGAAGACTCGAGAAGAGTCAAGACAAGAGATGAGAAAAGACAAAAACCAGATGCAAGAAGAGAAGAGAAGAGAAGAGAAGAGAAGAGAAGAGGAGGCGAAAGGACAATAGATTAGAAGGCCAAAGTTGAGAAGACTCGAGAAGAGTCAAGACAAGAGATGAGGAGAAGAGAAGAGAAGAGAAGAGAAGAGAAGAGAAGAGAAGAGAAGAAGAGAAGAGAAGAGAAGAGGGTCTCCTCTCAGGGTCTCTTCAGTTTCAGTAGCAGATGTTCCTGCTGTTTGGACTGTAATTATGCCTCACTCCATCTTTTCTCTCTGACTAACAGTGAGCTTTCAGCAGCAGAATGAACCCTGAACTGAACATCTGTGCACAAGAAACACACACACACACACACACACTGAACTTCTAAGACCAAACAGAATAGACAGAAATACAAGTAAAACTGACAGTTTTACTTACATTTCTGTCTATACTGTTATTGTTATTGAAAGCAATATATTTAAAATCTGATTTCATCAAACAAATTGGATTTTACACATCGTCGTAATGCATGAATGGATGCTGGAGTATGGCAAAAACAAGGTATTTTAGTAGCCAGCATAATCATGCTAGATTAAAAGGTGTGTGTGTGTTTTGTGTAACCTCTCCACTACCTTTACATAAAGATTGACATGTACCCTCCTGCCATGCTTAAACCCTGCACATAAACGCACACATACACGCACATACACACACATACAGGGCTTGTGGAGAACAAAGGCCTCTCTTTGAGCTTAACGCACCCTGTGAAGAGAGAGAGTGTATGTGTGTGTGTGTGTGTGTGTGTGTTGTACGGTGGGGGTGGCGGAATAGAATCATCGAAGACCAATTAAGTTGCTGACAAACTGTGTTTATACAGGAAGGGGTCTCTCCCTTTCTCTCTACCTCTCGTATACACACACACTAGGGCTTCTGTTACGAGAGCTTTACAGCCCTCAATAAGGGAAGGATGTGTTAGGGGTGTGTGTGAGCATGTGTGTGTGTGCTGATGGGCTCTTTGAAGTGAGCCCACGAGACAAAGAAAAAAGAAAGAAAGAAATACTGAGAGGGAAAGAAAGAGAGAGCACACAACAAAATAATAAGAGCTTTAAAATTAACAATGTCTCTCAGGAGGAATAAGCCGTATGTGTGTGAATTTCCTGCTGAGACGCATGCGGTGAACTTTCAACTTTGACCTTTTATTAGCCTGATCATTGGATCCCTGTGTGATTGTCCACATGTAGTCAGAGAACATCTAGCATCACATTTAGAAATACACCTCGTTATTTTGTTTGTGAGACATTGTTAAAATTAAAATTAATATAATGATAATGACTCAGAAATGATTTTATTGGAATTTAATTATTCACAAATAATCTTCCCCTCCAGTTAGCTGTTGACTCGAGAACTGCCAGGGAATCATTGAGTCAGTTCACTTAGTTGAACTTGAGAATCAAATTGTATGATTCATGTTGATCTGATTAACAAATCTGACCAAGTGATTTGTTCACGATTCGGACTGATCTCACTGTAGAGCTCACTTAAACTATACTAGTCAACATTTGAAGTGGATCAAAACCTTTCATCAAAGTTGTCCTTAAACCTAAAACCAAAATGCGTTCTTGTCTTAGGACAACTTTGATGAACTTTTTTGATCCACTTCAAATGTTGACTACTGTACAATCTGTTCATTATATGAAGATGTATGGCTTCAGAAGACTTGTAATATAGCACACAAGCTTAACAGATGTAGGCACTATGTACTGTGGATGTATGACAGTGACTGAAAGACAAGGAGTGAGAAAGAAGTAGGACATAAAGACACTGAAAGACAGAGAGCGAGATGCAGAGAAGTGAGTAAATTGAAAGCAATACTGAGTGAGAAATCAGGAGTTCAGACTGAGAGACTGAACAAAAGAGAGACAGTATGAGAAAGTGAAAGGTCAGGGGGAGAATCCCAGGGAAAATCTTAAGTCTTTATTCATGGAGGTCTGGTTCTGTCCCTGCCGTCCTGTACACACCTACATGTAATGAGGGTCAACTCACAGGTCAGCGCACTGAACAAAGTCTGTGTGTGTGTGTGTGTGTCAGTTCTCATTGTAAGCTGACCTCAGTCAGTTACCCACCACAGAATAAACCCCAACAGACACACATTTTGAAATTACACAACCTTGCACACCCTTTACAATAAAGAGAACATTCAGACAGACACAGTGTCCAAAAACATCCCACACATATCCGCTTAACACACCAGATAAAATACATACACACTAAAAACATGAATTACGACCTTTTCACAAACATGTTCAACATGTTACAATACACAAGTATTAAATGCACACTATAAAACAATAAACTCCACTTACAAAAAGTACCATGGTGTTAGCATGTTTTTGGAAATATTACCATGATAATACTATGTTGGTAACTTATGCTTACCAAGGCTGCATTCATTTGATCAAAAAATACAGTAAAAACAGGAACATAGGAATATTGTGAAATATTATTACAATTTAAGATAACTGTTTTCTATTTTAATTTATTTTAAAATGTAATTTATTCCTGTGATGGCAAAGATAAATATTCAGCAGCGCTACTCCAATCTTTGGGACTGATTTGGTGATCAAGAAATATTTCTTATTATTATCAATTTTTTGTATTTTTCAATGTATTTTTCTGAAAACCATGATACATTTTGTCAGGCATTTATTTAAAAATAGAAAATTGTATGATATTATAAATGTTTTGATCAATTTAAAGTAGGGATGCACCGATACCACTTTTTCCAGTACTCGCCCGATACCGATACTTTTATTTTTGGTACTTGCCGATACCGAGTACCGATACCAATATTTTTATTGCATTTGTACATTTTTTAAATATTGGGTACAGAAACCAAAAGAGTATGTATAATGTTAGTTGGTTAACTTCATTTATCAAATAGATACAGTCAAACCAAAATTTATTCAGACACCTTCAACATTTCTCACATTATCACAGTTTATTTGCTATAGTTTAGAAAATGGTAATAAAATATGACAAGAACTCAGAGTTACACTGTGTCAGAACAAATTCAGCTTGATAATGTCAGATAACTTTGATAGAAAGGTATGTAATGGATTACAATCAACCAAAAATTATTCAGACAGCTGTTAGTATGACAGTATTTACACAACTATCAATACTTAGTCGGGCAACCCTTAGCCTTAATGACAGACTGTAGTCTCCTGGGCATGCTGTCACCCAGCTTCATGAAAACCTCAACTTCAGTTTTTTTCCCAGACTCAGTCTGAATAATTTTTGGACCCAAATTTGTATCAATTTTACTGGTAGTCCACTGTATGAAGAATTTTTGGGTATGATTTGTCACAGTTTACTTTATTTTGCTATCCTCACTTACATAAATGAACTATAGTGTCCTGCACCCACT